CCCCCCCCCATGGGATGCTAGTCCATCACAAGGTCCCCCCCCCAGCATTTTGTGAGGCCTCCCAGACAATTCACCGGTACCCATTAATACTCCTGGGTGGAGAGAAGCACGATGAGAGAAAGTGTCTCGCCCAAGAACACAAGACACTGACCTGGCCTGGTCTCGAACCCAGACCTCAAAACCTGGAGTCCAGTGCACTGACTATTAGGCCACCTCACCAAATCGCAAAAATAGAGCAACCTCCACATCGTCTCGGATTAAATACAATGTTGGACTCCAGTCCCACTACGGTAACGTGGTTCCTCCAATCACAGCGGAACGAGAAAGAAAACCATATCAAACAAAAATGTTTTTCTTCCTCTTCTTCAGGTGCATTTCTCATTCCATATTTTATCAGTGTGATCCTGCTTGGCATACCCCTTCTGTTTCTGGAGCTCGCCATCGGCCAAAGCCTCCGCCAGGGTCCCATCGGTGTGTGGAAAGCTATTCACCCCTACTTGAGTGGTGTGGGGCTTGCTTCAGCGGTCGTGTGCGTTCTGATCTCCATGTATTATAACGTGATAATTGGGTGGTGTTTTTATTATTTGTTCGCGTCGTTTCAAGACCCTCTGCCTTATTCTTTTTGTCCCGCTGGCCCGAATTGCACCGTAAACGAAGAGTGTAAACTGGCTGGGCGGACGCAGTACTACTGGTATACTAAGACACTCGGGGCAACAACTTCCATTGAGGATATGGGTGATTTCCAGTGGCATCTGTGTCTTGTGCTTAGTTTAGCATGGATTGTTCTGCTGATCATTATCAATCGAGGAGTCCAGTCAGCTGGAAAGGTAGAGCCTTGTAATTCCTTAAATAAAGTCACCTCATTCGCTCATAACAACTTTTTAGTAATCAGTTTAGGCTCTTCCCAAAGTTTAGGCATTTATTTTGATTATTAAACGCTTTTATTTATTAATAGGCGGTTTATGTCACTGCTACACTTCCATATATTGTTCTGACCATATTCCTTGTAAGAGCTGTCACATTGGAGGGATCGGTAGACGGAATCAAACACATGTTCAAGCCTCAGGTAATCAGAAGATTATATTACTGAATTCTTTCTTGGACTTATGTGTTTAGAGGTTTCTTCCTGACTGATGTTTAAGTCAAATCATTGTTGCAATTAAATGGAAAGATAACTATGAGCTCATGTTTTTCTTAGGTAAAAGGAAAGATCATGATAAAAGTGCTAGACGAACAGGCTAGAAACGACGAAAACAAACCAGTGTTTTGAAGGACTATGAATCTGATTGTCAGATCTTGAATCAGCTTAAAGCGTTAAAAAGGGTACTTCTTAAATTGATAGTGTAAACGAAAACAGGCTGGAGAATACAGCAACAAGATACAAATATGGTTTAGAATGTCTCATATCAAGACGGATTGCAAATGACGAGCTTGAAAATTAGAGTTTGATTTTACTCGTAAAAAAGCTTCGATTTACCTCCTCATATCATTCACCCTCATTAAGGGTTAAAATGTGGGCAAAGTTTAGAGCAAAAAATCGCTAATATAAACGTTTCTTTCAGTTCTCCAAGCTAACCAGTCCTCTGGTTTGGTTAGAAGCCGTTACTCAAGTATTCTTTTCCATCGGTGTTGGTTTTGGTACTTTCATTGCGATGGCAAGTTACAACACAAAGCATAACAACTGCAAAAGAGACGCCATCTTTATATCGTTAGCTGACAGTTTCACGGCTATCTTTGCAGCTCTGGTGGTGTTCTCTGTCCTTGGTTTTAAGGTGAGTAGTTACGGAAGTACAATATAAGTGCAGAATAAATGACGAAAAAACAGCACTTATTAAGAGGTAGAGATTGTAATGCATGAAAGTTAATTTTTGTGATTCAATTTGTTTGTGGTGATTAAGCGAAGATATGATTAAGATATTTTTATGTTGCTTCTATAAAATGAGAAATACCATCGTGCTAAGAGGACACTGATAATGGCGTTAGATCTTATTTTAAAAAAACGTGAAAAAGTAAACAATCACGTGAGCAAATCATAAACAGCTGTTTTAAATCCATTGGACCTCGACAGTTTGCCACAATCATTTTAATCAAGGTATAGCAATTCAAGTAGATTACAACTTTGGGATGTGAGTTTGCTAATTAACAGAATGATAATATCACCACCATCATCGTCATTCAAGAGCTGAATACATTACATCTCTTTCTGGTCAGTTCTTGAGAGCGACTTTAATACGTTGTATACACTCAAACAACTATGAAATGAGTATCAGCAGAAATCACTCCCTCATAGATTACTACTCAGAATAATTGACTAATTGACCATTGGAAAGATGAGAATTTTACCACAACTTATTGAGTAACAGTGATCTTGAGAATCACATCTCAGTTCAGGTGCACTCAATTGCCCTATGATAAGTCATCTTGCCCTCTCTGTCTCATAATAACAAAGATTACTTGGAATACCTTCTGATATTTTAAAGGGTATCATGTGTGATTACATTGATAGAGCCTATTTTAAGGCTTAACTAAAATCCAATTACCCATCGAATATGACTTGACTTTCATCTTGCTTACGTTTAAAGGCACATGATTCCTACACTCAGTGTTTAGCATTATATGGTGAAGTCAACAATACTAAACTGCCCGCTGGAGTGACGCTTAAAAAGCAATGTCATGATCTGGAGCACTGGCTATCTAAGGTAAATCACGGCACATAGTTCATCAAAATTCATGTATTACTCACGCAGACTGACAATCTTACGGACAAATATAGACCATGCACCTGTGGACGGGTTAAAACATTTGCGCACTGTAAATTGCAGAAACCGCAAAAGGATAAAGATGGATAAACTAACAGACAGACCGGCAGGCAAACGGACAAATAAACCTACTGACGAACGAATGACTGAAGAGAGAGAGAGGGGGGGGGGGAGTGAAAGAGAGAGAGGGGGAGAGAGACAGAAAGTCAAAAGAATTAGAATTGTATCAAAAGAATCGCGCCTATGGTTTTTCCATAATACAAGAAAACTCCATGTTTTCTCTTTTCACTTGAATATATTAATATAATCGAAAGAAATTCTGTTAAATGATCATGATCAATAGCAAAACGACTATCGCATCTTTTTTCTTCAGAAATTTCAAGGTCCTGGCCTCACTTTCATTGCCTTTACTGAAGCAATCCTTTTAATGCCGGCTTCACCACTATGGTCTGTTCTGTTCTTCGCCATGTTTCTGTCTCTCGGTCTTGGTAGCATGTTCGGTATACTGGAGGGTGTACTTAACCCGTTACACAAACAGAAGATAGTGCCCTTGCGCAAGGAAATAATGACAGGTCAGTTTATGTTGAGTTGGATAAATTCTAGTTCCTTCTTGGTTTGCCGTCAATTTGTTTTTTATTTTTTCTATCTTGTCTCAATAGCATTTTGCAGTTTCCTTTATTATGAAGGCAAATTTCTTGGGCGTAAAAAATGTTATATCACGAGTTAGTTTCTTAAATGTGACACCGCTGGGTTCTGTGGGAAAATCGCACGTTAGCTGCGACGAAACCTCCTTGCAAGATATCGAATCACAATTGGAAATTACCTTGTTTACTTCTGCGTCATGCACTCGGCTTCGGTCACATTTTTAATTTTCTTTGATTTAACAGTCTTGATTTGACGTAAAAGTACCTGGTTATCTGTGTAGTAAGTGTAGTGGTGCGAACAAAGAATCCCCAAAAGTAAGGCAGCTGATTGAAAGACGAGGATGAAAGGGTAACAAGGGACTTTACTTCATGATCCCCTTCCAGCCGTTCTACTCTCTCCTTCGCTAACAAGTCAGATACTAAGCTAGCATATTGTTTAATCCTTCCCAGGTCTTACGTGCCTCTTTTGTCTCATCGTTGGACTGCTGTTCTGCCAGACCTCTGGGGAGTACTGGTTGCAGCTATTTGACAGCTTTACAGGAACACTACCACTTCTCTTCATCTGCTTCTTCGAACTTATCGGAGTAGCATGGGTGTATGGAACCAAGAGGTGAGGACTGGAGCTAGATCGACTGATAAGATATAAACCATAAGCTCGAGATCATCACGAGTGGGCGTGTCTTCATATAAGGAAGCTTTGTTTGTTTGTTTGTTTGTGTATTTTTTGTGATTTCACGTTGTAACATCACCACATTAATCAGGTAACACATGATGCGACTGAAGAGAAAATCTTGTCACTTTCAGAAAACTTTTGGTGTGTTATCTTGATGCAACGTAAAGAAACTCAAAGCGACCCTTGATAGGAAGTACGAGACACCTATTGGAAAGTTTACCATGAGTGACTAGCATTTCATTTCTCCTTACAGTATCACCGCTCTGCTTATTTTAAGATCACGAGAACAAATGAAATGATCGCCAAATACAGACCCTCTGGACTGTTAAACAAATTCTCCTAATCGGTACCTTAAAAAATGTACAGAGAATAGTTGAGAGAATATGCTTACTGATGTTGAGGTGTGGTTGAGAGTTCTTTGACATGGGTGCCTTGTTCTCAGAAACGGATAGAGCTAAGAGAATCTACCACCGGTCTCTGTTCGTGATGTCTTTGGCAATGAAGAATTTTCTTTGAAGCATCTCTTGATTCTTCCAGATTTTCTGACGATTTAACTTACATGCTCCTCGAGAGACCCGGATGGTTCTGGACGATAATGTGGAGATTTGTGTCTCCTGTGATAGTCCTGGCGATCTTTGTTAGCAGTATTGTTAACATGGCAATGAAACCACCTGCGTACTCTGTCTGGAGACCAAATAAGGTGACTGAATGATTTTACCATTGTTCTTTAATTGTGCGTTGTTGCCGTTGTTGTTGTGGGTAAGGGATCAGGGGTCAGGGGTCAGGGGTCAGGGGTAGAAGAAATGGGGGTAATTGTGCTGAATTTGTGGGGTGCTAAGGATATTTAATAAAGTTTTCCTTGGGAATGTTGCGCTGTGAAGTTTCCGCTAAAATCACGTTAATGGTCGGCCATTTGTTTGCTGTTTGCAGCGATTAGTTTTAGACAAATGCTAAAGTTCAAAGAGTTTCAGCATTTGAAGAACTCAATGCACTATCTGTGTGACGGTTTCAGTTGGCTGTGCTAAGTGTCCCTTTCCAAACGTCTACAAAAGAAAGAGCCTCTCATATCTGTCAGGTCCGTCAATTATTGAAAATGGAAAGGGAAAATTACTTTGAATCGGAACTTCGCTGTATTTATTGGATAAATTTTTAACAGTTGTTGTTGTTGTTTTTTTTTTTTAGTCAAAATGTATATTTGTCTGTTTGATGTTGTAGGCCGAAGTGGAGAGCGTTCCATACCCATCCTGGTGTTATCCTATTATTGCTTTCCTCATCTGCGCATCCTGTCTTTGTATACCAGCGATCTTTCTTGTAAACTTATGTCAACGGTTTATCGCGAAGAGGAGAGGATATACGCCATGATCACATGACTGTTTGTTATGGTTTGACTAACATACTTGGAGATGATCGAGCATTTACGACACATTTCAATGGCAAATGTTGGTAAAGTAGTAGGAAGATTGCGGAAACAGTGGAAACTGAACCGTTCATTGATTTGAATTCAAGGCTTTTACTTAGTATTGCAGTGCGCATCCATACTGCGGATAATTTCACACGTGATTAGCGTGTAAAATAAAATATGGCCGCTATCTTCATTTCCTCGTAAACGAAAACAAACAGTCATCAATCCATTTTCCAATGGAGCAATAATGCTCTACCTTTAAGCTTGAAGGCGATTTTCATATCAATACAGGATAACAAATAACCTTCAGGAACATCAACTTAGCGAATATTCTTAGATATATTCATGAAAAGATCACAAGGGTGTTTACTGTCAAGATGCTGTTGCTCATAATGGAGAAATCTCCAGAAATTAATTCATTCCTATCTCTACCATTGCAAAGTTATTTTGACGCTAACCGCGTGTACGAGATTCCGTAGACTTCTGGCTCGAAATTGTCGCAAAGTGAAGCCAAGGGAAAGTCTAACTAGATGGAAAAATTTATATCATGGTACAGTTTACACTACAACATTTCTACGAACATACAACGTCGGCTACAAGGATGGAAATGAGTCTAAAACGCACTTTTTTCCTCCTTACCCTGTTACAACGCATTTTTCAAATGACAACTTCCATTTTACTATTTTTTTTTAATAGAAAGTGGTATTCGAGAAGCCTGTTAGTTGTAATTTGACATCTGGAAGCATTTTTTTAGCACCATTTGTCTGAGGCTGTACAGGTAGTAACATTTGTATTTGTTTTTTTTTTTTTAACCATTTGTATTATAGTTATCATGCTAGGTCGATTAAATCCTATTTAGTCTGTATAATTGTAATAAATAATAAGCTCACGAGTAGTTTAAATTCTGTTATAACCAAGTGCTAAACCTTGTTGACTGGTGAACTCTAACTCTAAGCCCTACGAGAAAAACATGCATAAAGTTCAGTCGAAGAGAATCATATCTGTGACTCAATGAGGCGCCTTATATTTACATAAACTGACACTTTTGAAAACTTTTTGAAAGAAAACTTGTCTAGAAAGTTAAACACATATTGTCTTGACGCTTCTACAAAAATCTGAACTCTCTTCATCACGGTACATTCTGTAAGTTCGTTTGCACCGGTTTTGTCATGTTATTTCATATCAAGTCTTGAAAAATATAAATTAAATTAAAATAACCCTTACCCTATCCCTAAGCTTCCTCGTTTCGTTAAAATTCTGAAAGATCTATTGATACGGGTCAAATGTGCCGAGCTGTCAGTCATCAACAAACATCCGTGCTGATGAAATATTTACAAATGAGTATGTATCTATTGTACGATCGTGAACGAACTTTTACATGTTCCTTGATAACGTTTTAAATCAATAATACCCACTCGTATTTCACAATCGCAGATACTAAACGGTTTTTTCTACATAGATCATACTAAAGTCGCGTTTAGCGCGCTTCTCTGTTCACTAAGAAATAAAATATTCAAACCGGTCAAACTCGTTTATTGTGTTTTGAGAAAACTGGTTTTTATTTATCCTTATTCATGATTTGTTATTGTCCCTCACTTTATGAGCAGACGAATAGTGTCTTTGAGTCTTGGCGCGTATTCAGAGCACTGCGATCGCAATGCCAAGACAAGATCGAAAAGCCGACGGTCTGATAACGTTGAATCTAACAGCCAGCCCCGAGAATGGGTACGATGAAGCGGAGGAAGGCAAGCTTGATTTCGAGACCGACACCATAAGCGAGGAGGTAGATATAGTAAAACGGCAGACTTGGAGCAACAAAGCTGAATACATTCTCGCTACTATCGGGTTCGCGGTTGGATTTGGAAATTTATGGAGATTTCCGTATTTGTGTCAGAAAAATGGAGGAGGTAGGGAGAGATCTAATGGGTTTAAAATTGAGCCATGGTATCACGTCTGCGGTCATGAAACTCTTAATTTACTATGTAAATTGCGGTGAAAGAGAGAAAATCGTCACTCTCTGATAGTTCCCTATCGATAGCTCAATAATTTATGCTTGGAATAACACGCAAAACTTTGTAATATTTGGTTTCACTTCCTTATCATTTCTGTTTTGTGTTCTTGGGCCGTATTTCACTTTTTCTGATGGATTAAATAATTTCCTTGTAAGAGAGCACATGTGAAAGAACAATAAACTCTAGAGCACCTGACACCCTGTTGAGATAAGGAATCGCATTAAAAAAAGACAGCCTCGTTAAAATAAAATCAGCGCATTTTCAGAGCTGTTATAGCCTTAGATAGCACGTAATGTTTTTTTTTCTCAAGTTTAGAGGTGTACGTAACCCTCTATGGCTCGACTTTTTTCCTGTTGGTCATCTCTTGAAAATGGATTGATTGAGAATTAGCGAACTGTTAGTAAAGAATAAATTATTCCGAGCCCTGTTTCCGAAGATAATGTTATCCAAACCGATATATTGTTTCCCTGAAAATATCTGGTGGACTCGCAAAACCGCTAGGTCGGAAATGAGGTCGAATAACCGCAGACAAATAGAGTAATTTTAGCGCAAGAATACATAACAAAGCTCGCGCGCCTATCAACATTTAATCACATGCACATCTCGAGGAGTCTGATCTTTTTAATTCGATTTACTCTCTTGCTCTTCGAAAAACAAAGAGATACCGATGAAAATTCGCACTCCCTTTGAAGCAGTGTAATCAAAATAAAGCAAGCGGTATCGCAGATTATTCTAGCGAAATTGTGTTGACCATTCAATAAACCTTTATACGGCTGGATCGTTGAATGCAAATTTCACGCTGGTGAAAAGGTATCTCCTGATAACAATAGGTCGACAGGACATTTAAGCAACAGGTTAAATCTGAAACAACAAACACCATACTAAGAAAACAGTTTGCTTTCTTGTCAATATGTTACTCCACTGATATTTTGCTCTATAGCCTTAACATTTTGTTTTAAAAGAATTCCTGTGCTTGCAAGGTATAAAAATGTACGCTACTAGATGGGGCTATAACCGTAAGCCGTAAAACGGTAAAACAATCAGCTGTTAGGCGTAAAAGTGATGAAATTTAATCATAAAAAGTGTCCCTATTTTTAGGTGTGTCATGTTGAAAGTGTCAAAATCTTAGACTGTTCTGCGACCGCGTTCACTCAAGTTAACATTGCTTCGAGCGAAACTCGAAAGCCACCGCTTTTGGCCTACGCATTTTTTCCTCAAAGCCTTTCTTTTTCCTTCTGAACAGTTTCATGCACTGTAAATAAATGTAAATATGCACTGATGTCTTTCCTAATCATAGTTATTTTTCATTCCTTCCATAAAAGGTGCGTTTCTTATTCCATACTTTATCAGCCTGATCCTTCTCGGCATTCCTCTCTTCTTCCTGGAACTTGCCATCGGCCAAAGCCTCCGTCAGGGTCCCATCGGTGTGTGGAAAGCTATTCACCCCTACCTGGGCGGTGTGGGGCTTGCTTCAGTGGTCGTATGCCTTCTGATCTCCATGTACTACAACATGATCATTGCCTGGTGTTTTTATTATCTATTTGTGTCGTTTCAAGCCCCTCTCCCCTACTCTACTTGCCCCAGCGGCGTGAACTGCACAGTAAATGAGGAGTGCAAACTGGCCGGTCGAACACAATATTTCTGGTACACTAAAGCCCTCGGTGCGACAACCTCCATCGAGGATATGGGTGATTTCCAGTGGCATCTGTGCCTTGTGCTCTTATTGGCATGGATTGTTCTGTTTTTGTTTGTTAGCCGTGGTGTCCAGTCTGCTGGAAAGGTAAAACATTTATAGGCCTTGCCAGTTAAATTGGCTCTCTCAGAAGAGAAGCAAAGGTGGAAACCTCTCAGAGTTATCTAATTTTCCATTTTTTTTAACAGGCGTTGTATGTCACTGCCACCTTACCATATATCGTGCTGGCCATCTTCTTTGGAAGAGCTGTTACTCTGAAGGGATCATTAGATGGAATCATACACATGTTCAAACCTCAGGTAACTAACCGGAAAAGCGTTTATTTTCATAGTGAAACCAACGGACACACACGACAGGCAGACTCTTCCACTTGGAGCATTTTTCACGAGCTAAAACTGATCGGCCACGTAGTCCAATTACATTCGATGTAGTGGATACAATTAAGAAATAGCTTTTATCTAGTAGAACCACTCCGATTGATTTTTAAATCCTCTCAGTGAATAATTACGCCGATCTGGCCGATCAGTATGGACTGCGTAAACTCCATTTATACTATAAAGAACTCGGCCCGATGCCCAATTATAAATGCTGTTCAGAAAATGAGCCCAAGTCTCGAGGATATCGAATACCGAACTCGCGTAAATGGGAGAAATCAAGCCTAACAAAGAACTGATTATTATCTGCATAATGAGGCATCAACTATCTAGAGTAGCCTACGTCGCTGGTTACCATGTTTTGTTCACGCCAAAGCAATGAGCGGTAAGGCTGCAAAAGGCTTAGGATGGAAGACAGTTTTAAGTAAAAACCGTAAGGCGCCCACAAAAACCACAAAAGTAGTAGAAATATGTAATTGGTAAATGTACTTAAAAAATAGTGCGCATAGTGTGAACTCTCGAAGAAAATATGAGATGATTTTTTCCGATCTTTAACTTCCTTTTATCTTAACGTTCAGTTCTCTAGATTGCTGTCCCCTTTAGTATGGCTCGAGGCTGCAACTCAAGTGTTTTTTTCTGTGGGTGTCGGTTTTGGGACCCTCATCGCGATGGCGAGTTACAACCCAAAACACAACAACTGTCGGCGAGACGCCATTTTTATATCTTTGACTGATAGTTTCACGTCAGTCTTTGCGGCTGTTGTAGTTTTCTCCGTCCTCGGCTTCAAGGTGAGGTTTGGCCTGGGGGAGTGGATTTCTACCACTCAAGTGAGCAAAAGACCGAGATGCGTTGGGGTGTTGTACTAATTAATAAGAGATGGGTGTTAACTCAACTACCAGGTTAAGATTGAGATACTACCTTGATGCTATTGTTGTTGTTATCACTACAAGATTTTAATTCAATTAAGTTTTTTTAACGTAACGATAATACCAAAGAAACACTCGTCGTGTAGCTTTTTACGCGTTTTTTTGAGAGCAACATTATCAGAAAGTTTTTATCATCGGACTTAATTGAAACCCCTAATGATTAAAAAAAGAAAAAAAGAACTGCAAACCTGCCAATTTGTTAGCATCTTGTTAACCCTTTACTGCACCATGCTCTCGTTTTTTATTCGTCAAGAAAAAAAAGAGACGCCTTATGCAAGCTAGTTTCTAGGACACTGCTCATTTCTCTAAGAGGACGCCAGTCGTAAAGCGAGGAAAATATCTTTAAAATGTTTTTTTTTATTACTCTAGAAGTCTTTTGACTTTATTCCGCAGGCACATGGATCATACGACGAATGTTTGAGTCTATACGGTGGTGCAAATAACACCAACCTTCCGCACGGAGTAACAATTCAGCAAAAGTGCCATAACCTAACATATTGGCTTTCTGAGGTAAAGACGCTAAATAGTAGCCATAAAATTATATGTACAAGTTCGACAAGTAAATTTTTTCCGATACCTTCTAAGATAAATAGAAATCACGTTAAAGGACAACACTTAAGATCAAGAGTCTCTTGCTTCAAGCTTCTACGACTGAATTAATCAGGATACTTCTGAAATATCATTCTCTGCAAAAACCATTTTTTAATGAATTTCCTTATCAGTCGTTCCAAGGTCCTGGCCTGACGTTCATAGCTTTCACTGAAGCCATCCTGAAGCTTCCGTTATCCCCACTATGGTCTGTTCTGTTCTTTTCCATGTTGCTGTCTCTCGGCCTCGGCAGTATGTTCGGTATACTGGAGGGTGTGCTTAATTCACTGCACGACCAGAAGTTGATTCCGCTGCGAAAGGAATTACTGACAGGTAAGATAATTTTATTTACTTTTTAGCTACGTAAAATTTCAGAATTTCTTTATTGTAGATTATCTTTTTTTATCACATAAACTGTAGTGTTATACAAGGATTTCCGGCCCCTGAGAAAAGCCGTAACAACACACGTGAAAAAATATCGTATTTTTTTCACGTGTGTTGATATAGCCAATCAGCTGCTTATACTTCAATCGCCTTTGGCGCCACTCGGTCAGGTTGATGAATGAACGGCAAATCCCTTACGATTCAAAACTTCCTCAAATTATGGCGGCTAAAACACTAAAAAATCCGTATTGCTGACAGACAGTGAGGTTCAAACTTTTTTAGAAGAGGAAGGAAACCAGTATACTAAAAGAAAAACCAAAAGTTACGCATTCAGTGGCTTTGGTGTAAGCATTTCTCTCGGCTCAGAATGAAATCGACGACTGGAAGATTTTTCACTGGCCGATTTTGGCCGTTTACCTGAAAGACTTCTTCTGTCGGTAAGGGCAAAGTCAATAAATGAGAATTTTTTAAATTGAAAATTACGATCATTGTTGTTTTTGTAATCGTGATTCAACGCATTTTTCCATCTTAAGAGTTAGCGCTAACGCACTTTACGATTGTTATTCGAGGATTGTCGATTCATTTATTTTCATTCATAAATGAAGTCGGCTTTTCTTTCCAGTAAAGTGCTGTTGTGTTTATATGATAAACAAAATAATACATGGTTGCTTGTAGATATGGACTTTCTCTTCTCGTGCTCAACTCGACATCTCACTCGTGAGCTATCGAGTTAAACACTCGAAGAGAAATTCCATATCTACCTGCGCCCATGTATTATTCTCTATATACGACACCCACGGCCAGCAAAGCGTGAACACTGATTTGATGCTTACCGGTCTATGATACACCGACTGTTCAAAAGAAACTTTAAGACAAGGGAACAACACTCAAATCCAAAAACTAAAGAAAAGCTCTGATAAACAAGTTGCTTTTGTCCATGATCTCTCGGTGAATGGTTAAGTAAGTGATATGTAAGGGAAAATAAAGGAAAAAAAAACAGGAATAATATTCACTCTCCAGATGATAAAATATCTGACAAAATATCTCATTTCGTCTTCAGGTCTGACGTGTTTTGTGTGTCTGGTCGTTGGACTGCTGTTCTGTCAGACCTCTGGGGAGTACTGGCTGCAGATGTTTGACAGCTTTACAGGAACACTTCCGCTTCTGTTCATCTGCTTCTTTGAACTTGTTGGTGTTTCATGGATCTACGGCGCCAACAGGTAATGGATGAAAGATCGTGCCTTAATTTTAATGAACGATCGGCCGAGTACATCATCGAGAGTTTGAAACTGCTTACTATTTGATCGGGGTGGGAGTGGAAAACGGGTTCTTTTGACTGTCATTCCTTCAGTCCGCATGGTGGTGTGGCCATTCTCCGTTAACCCAATCAAAAAAACAACCAACCAAACAAGTAAAGGTAAAAAAGAGTTCAAAGGAAGCAAATTTGAGAGTGAAACTATGAGTGGTGTTCATGAAGGAAATTGTTTCTCACCCGTGCCGAGATTATCCGCGGCAGATCGTCTGTATCTGAGCGCAAGTGATCATGATTAGCGCAGATTTAGAAGGATTAAAGGTCATTTTTTATTCTAAGACACACCTTTAACTGTGGTATTAGAACAATTGTCTCCTGCACCAACATTATTTCACTGCACATTACGAACGACCGGTAACACAGCGCTTTCTTTCGTACTTTGATACACAGGTTTTACGACGACATCGAGTACATGCTGCGCATGCGACCTGGCTTGTACTGGAAAATAACCTGGAGATTTGTGTCCCCTTTGATAGTATTTGTCATCTTTGTGTGGAGTGTGTTGAACCTTGGACTGAAACCGATTACATATTCGGTGTGGAACAGCAAGGAGGTACGAACAACACCTTGTCGCATTTATATACAAAACGGAAGTTGGGGGTGTTAGACAGAGCATTTCAATAACCAGTCATGTCATAAACAAGCAGGGGACTAGAAACGAAGTCTTTATTTAATTGGTTGAAATAGCTTCGCCTGTCACCTGAAATAAAAGTTTGTTTACTCAATTTGAGTGATTAAAAAACACAGAGACATAGTTGAGTGTGGAATAATAAATCAGTAGTAAAGAGCTTTGTATGGTAGGAGGCACAGACGTCTCACTAATCCATAATAATCTCTCGTCGGAGCAAATCGACACGCGAACCCGGTTGAGGTAAGGCATTAGGCTGTAAAATGAGATGAAATCCTCGCTCAGCTTCTGCCATCTTCGTCGACCTTGATTCTAGTTTGATCGGTTTTAGTCAACTGAATCATAACAATAACGTGACTTTCATGACTGCATAATTAAGCATTATAGTTTGCTGAGATTATCTGTATTGTCATAGGGATTAAAATTTATAAACCACCGATGAAAAATCATTTTTCTTTCATTTCAGGGCGACGTTAAGAGTGTAGAGTATCCTAATTGGTGTCTCTTTATCATTGCGGTTCTCATCTGCGCTTCTTGTCTCTGTATACCCGCGGTGTTTTTTCTAAGATTATATCAAAGTGTGATCTCAAGGAGAAGGAGAGATACAGAGATTGTCCGTGACTTGCTTGAAACGTCTGCAAAGAAACCGCCCGAGAAGAACACAGAATGACTTGCTTCTTCAGATCTTAGATCGAGACTCCAGCTTTAAACATAGAATAGAAACGTGTCAGATCATCGGTCTGCGAGTGTCATGCGGTGCAAATTAAACTCGATAGATGCGCGCCAAATGCACTATTCTTGTGAGGTTTCGCTTTCAAATTATGCTTAATTAAGAGACCACTCCTATTCGGAGGCCTCAGCCGTTTCGGATTACGACAGCGATATAGAAAAGAGAGCCAACAAATTAAGAATGAAATGCACTCAGTCGTCACAATATCCATTTCTTTGCCAAACATATACGTTATCACTCAAGCCGCCTGACCTTCTAACCAAATTACCCATGTACACTTTGTTTGGCGAGCTAGGTGTCTCAGAATTTGAAACAATAAATATATGACCCATACCGGGCGCTTTTCTATAGAACGGCGGGAGAGCCACAGTTAAGAAGAAACCGTCTCCTCTTCTGCCAAATTCAGTTAAACCTTCCTTGCAACCGTACCCGACTTACACACCTTTCATCCATTTCTAAGGGAGCACGATTGGTGAAACCAAACAATTCATCCTAACAAAGCCTAATGTACAACGTCACTAGACGATCTCCACGTTGCGCAAAATATAAATATTTATGTGTAAAACTAAAAGATACAGGTATCACCTCTTGGTCGAAAATATAACAAGAAATTAAATTCTAGGAAAGTGTGACGGATATGATGCCCACGTGTTATTTACTTGATATTTAAAGCGACAGAAAGTGAAAGAGCTCTTGTGAACGCATCATATTTTTCTACACTTTACTGGTTTCGAACTAAGTAACAAAATCTGACGGGTCAGACTGATCGAGAGCGGCAGTTACTTAGTTCTTTTCAGAGAAATTCATGGACTACCTCTTCATATAAGTCAAACTTTAACTTACGAGGCACAATCTTTCAAGTTTGATCCCGGTGGGGTTTTCAAATACGGTAGCTTTAGGCCGTTATACGAGATCTAAATCGCCATCCTATATCAACAAAGACATCAAAACATCAACATGGGGAATAGTAGTGGGGTTACATCTCGGAAACAGAGCCAAACAGGTATTTCGGTTTCATATGACGTGCCTCGAAATAGAATACAACAAAAACTGACATAACTTTAGGTAAAAGAAGGGGTGGGTCGATAAGTTTATTTTGTTATCGTAGTTCAATTTTTGCGTACTATAGCCTAATAAATGTGTCCTACTTAAATCTCTTTCTTGCGCAATAAACCAGCAGCAGGTGTCTCGCCCTCGTGTTTTGGCGGGAAAGTAAGGCGGGAGACGTGGCAACCACGATGGAAATGAAGAATGTTTTAATTTGCATATGCCACAGTCAACTGTTTTGGAACACAGCTGCGTCATATAGAAATCATTTCGATTCGAGTGCGGTTCTATCGATAAGAATCAGCTTTATCAACCAGATTGCTTCCACTCCAATTACGACTGAGCAGAATTGAAGCCTTGAACACTGGTCGCTCGACAAATTTAAAGAGCGGAAGTTGTATATTTTTCGTTTTCATGACTAAATAGCACGTGGAATTTGGTTTTGGAAATGATCTGCGAACAGCGGTTGACGAAATGGAAAAATGAGCATTGTGTGCAGCTCTGTTGTGAATTAGACATTATCAAATGAGCTTTTACAGTCCTTTTAAATGGAAATAAAGCCCCTAAAGTAGAACAATGTGACAAATTAGTAATGCATGAATGAAAAAGCGGCGGCAATTACTGTAAACACGCTTATCTCTCACTGAACAACCTTGGAAATACCAATGTTTAATCGTTGAGTATTGAGTGAAAGAAGTCTTTCTGAAAGACATATTTCCCTCGAGATTAGCACGTGCCTTCAAAACGATATTGAAGTTTCATTTTTTCTTGGTGAACTAAACTTGCGAAACAACATGTTCACGGAAATCTTACTTTCTTTTCGTTCAAACAATCCATATTTCAGAGAAATATCACGCAAAGAGCAAAGTGAAGAAGAAACAAGTTCGTCATGCTTTGTCGAGGCGAAAGATACAGGTAAAACCTGAACTGTCGGACTAGAGACCCAATACCGTTGCGCAATAGATGGAGAAAGAGGAATGAATTAAGTACGACGGGGCTGATTGGCTACTTAGTTCCCGCTTGATTTGCTCTTTTGTGTGGTAGTTTATGCAAATTAAGATTTCAAGCTGGAGCGACTTTTACTTTCGACTTATTTGTGCGTATTCCACGTGGTATATAGACGGTAGTCAGTGAAGCCCTTCGGATCTCAGTTATTGGTATGTTTTGGGTGATTTTTCAGTTGATACATCTCATATCTAAATATTTTAAGACAGCTATTTGCGATTAGGTGGTCAGGAAAACCGCAGAGAGACCACCGTAGAGTTTCAAAGTCATTCAAAACACACGGTGAAACGAGGCAACAGGCACCGTAAACACGAAGCATTCGACTATTTTACTAGATTACGACTCCCTTCTTTCTACGAAATAGATTGTTCTCTGTCTTTAAGTGACTTCCGATTCATTCACTAGTTTTTTATCTTTGTGCCGGAGGGATTATTTCGATGGTTTTTAAGCGCTTGCCGTAAATCGAACATGTGAGCTCATGTAAACACAAACGTAGGCGTTGGGTCGAAGTTAAACATTAATCACTGGATGAGAAGATACGACCAGTCAGAATTTGATGTCACACTGGGAAACTGCTTGAGACAATAAAATTTTGTTACTGAGAAAACGGGAAGTTAACAAAAATGGCAATGGTTTTATGAGCTAAAGGAAGTGTTTTGTTAGTTCGAAGCTCCATGTCGCTCGAAGACAAATCTTTCATAAAAATTTTCACGTGACCTTTGTAGTGTCCACGTGCACGTGGCGGGAGAACTTTTTTCTTAGATAATTCTATCATATCGTTATAGAACTAATGAAATTAATCAGCATTTTTTGACTTAGGCTATAGGCAATCTCCTTGTGAAACTTATTGCACAATTTTTGTACAGGTCTCAGTAGAGTTTGTATTATTGTTATACCACCTCACTTGAAATATGTACTCTTTACTTGAACTAAGCTTAATTATGATTAATCCAATCATTCTAATTGTGCTTTAACGGCTCGTTTTGGATAACATATGAAACTGATATTTTTTGCGCAAGGGAAGGTTTCAATCATCTTTCGGAGAATTTGTACAGTTCTTTAAAATATTCGAAAAATACGTTATTGTAGCGAAACAATACGTGGGTCAAAATATACGAGCAATATAAACAAAACACTGTCGTTTTAGAGGACAAAAGGATTGAACCGTGTCGCTATTTTACAGGTCACTTACTTTAAGTACAAAATAAGCGTTCCCCGATCAGTTAGATTTAAGTTTTCTTAGACGCTATGCATCGAAAGTGATAATAAAATGTCCGTAATTATTTGATCATCTGACAATGAAATACGAACATATAATTAGCGTAAGAGTTTAACGCATTGTCATGTGAATAGATCGAGACAACTTTTACCCAGTCAGTGTATGCTTTCAAGGGGAAAATTTCATTTTCCTGCAGGGGATAATTATTCGACCTTTAGCAGCCACCATTTTTCGGGCGCTCGATTCAGAACTCCCACGGAACATCCAGCTTTGCATTTTTTGGAAATTACCAGACATTCCAAAAATAACAAAAAAATATTGATAGAGTTTTCGACAAGTTTTATCGAAATTTTGCGAAAATAATAAGAGACTAAATGACTGATAAGGAACAATGTCTTATCTGGCTTAATGAATCGATAACGAGGTCAGCGATACGTATCCTTAGCAACCAGGCCAGCAATAACTGTGGGTGTGTATTGGAGTGCCCTGTTTGGAGAAGTCACTTTTAAAGTGTCCTGACAATATTTGTATTCCATTGAGGTTAAATCGAAAATCCAGAATAAATAAATATTGGTTTAAGTGAGGATGTCTTTAGCAGCGCTATGATATTTGGGGACTCTTATCTCATCATGTAGAATAATTGAAAGCAAATAGCTATAAATCTCATTAGTAGGGAGGTAAACCAGTTGGTAACTGACGAAACGCGTGATTTCGGCACTACCGAAAATGAGACTCAAATGAATCGCAAGGTAGGATTTGAAATACGGACGTTCTCATTTCAATTCCATTCATCGCACTACTTCCATACGTTTCAAGAAACTGCAAATGCATAGTTCCTTCCTATGCTTGCTCTCAAACCACTGTTAAAGGTATCCTTGGTGTTAAAAACTGCCGAGAAAAATCAATTTTGTTTCGAAACAGTTCGTCTCGTGTTCACGTGATACTGTTTAGGTTCCACCATCGAGTTAAATGACAATATAATTATATTTCATCGTAACAGGTGTTCGGCGCTGATAAGTTGAAAGTTGAAAGTTAAATTTCAAATCACGCTATGTTTTCGGATTAGCACGCGATTTTGGAGGACCTGCTTACAAAACGTATTGTGTAAAACAAAATAAAGAAACGTTATTTTAATACTGTTTATTCACGCAAAGTTGGTGATTCAACAGTCTATCAATTTAAGATCGCTTGATTTAGACAACACAAAACTACAGATATCTGTAATATAAACATACCATTCAAAATTCACACGTGATTTGTGTGTGTTGTGCCGCGTGATTGGTAGTGATCCACTTTAGCTGGTTACGCGGCATGAATAGCAATTCCAGCATAGAATTTCAAAGAATTATGGCGCTTCACTTTTGAGACAACCTGCTGAGGCGTAGTCAAAATTTTTGTCATCTAATTTTCCAATATTTATGCGTAAAAGATTGGAAAAGAATATTAAAGAAACTGTGTTGCCTTGTTACGAAGTGGCACATGCAGAAAAATCATCTCTCTTCTTCTCGCAAAGTAGCCTTGCAGAACGTAGAATTCCCCATTTTCTTAAAAAGAGAGTTAGTGATTCGAGTTTGCGGAGTAAAGAAAGTTCAACCAAAAGTAGAACACGTTATCCGCAGGCATGCTTTTATATAAACTTCGTTTACAAGCTTGCCCTCCGCGCACGCGATACATTTGTAATACAAAACAAATGATTTCAACAAACCAGAAAAATATCGTTAAGTCATTGAAGAGACCTGAAATTACAGTTTTGCATCATCCATGAGTTATAAAAAAATCTTGATAACCTCTCGACCGCAAATGTGACTCAGAAACACCATCATGTGAAACCAAGTGAAACTATCCCTTGACTTTCGGTTAAGTTAGCGTGACTTGTCTTGTTGCACCGCGACCCGTAAAAGTAGGTTTCACGGTTCACTTTCACTGGAAACGCGTCAAGAAGATAAGAATCTACTTGACATATTGAACTGTTTTACAAAGACGCAAAACCGAGTTACGTGCGTTTAAACAACAATGGAAGGCCTCGAAGCTTCAAAACCCGTGGGAAACGTTTTTTTCTTGTTTTCCTTCAAAAGCTTTCTAATACTGGCGCTGAATTTTATTTCAATAGACGTACAAATATATATCCATAAGAAGTAAATGGAAATTGAAAAACGTAAAGGTCGCTCCTAATACGAGACAATTCAATATCTTAATCATCCAATCACTTGGCAAATTTGGTGTATGTATTTTACTTGTTATGGAATTGTTTCTCCCTCGTGCAAAAGATGAATTAAAACGTGTCTTGAATCGCCACTAACAAATTTTGTGGATTCACAAACAAAAGCCAACTTGCCGGATCTCAAGCCTTTTAACAATGTGGTGGCGAATGACGAAATATCAACTTTTGATCTTGTATAATCAAACGCTCTGAATTAGAAATCCGCCTTGAGCCTGTTTCAGTTAAGCACGAAAATCTTAATGTTTATGCTTCCTGTGGAGTGACCCAACTGATACTTAACAGGGACCTTAGCGGGAAAAGTATAGAAATCCGTACTCGTAAAGTTTCCACCAAAATACAGACACTCGGTGTGAATTAATTAAAAAAACAACGTAAATGTCAGTAACGATTGCTAGCCGCTATTGTCCTAAAAATTCACTGTATGTCTTGGAAAGCATTCAAATATCTTTGAGACATGACAAGTCTAAAAGCTGACATCGGTTACAATTTGTAAATATGCCACATCCTGTCAATGCCGGGAAGAGACCGGCAGAAACGCACGGGTTGAAATTTCCAAATAAAAAGAGCTCTCTAAATCTTTGCCAAGTCAGTAAATCGCTCTTCGTCCCTGTGCCAAGTATTTCGCGGCTGTCGATCAACTCTAGCAGGTAAGGACTATATCATAGATATCATTCTAAAATATTTTCCATAATTCATGGCTTCCACAGTTCAGCCCATTCATCAGTATATTTTCAAGTGCAGCAAAACAATAAGTCACACACTCCCTTTGAATGGCCGTATTTTGAAACCGAATTTTCTCTTGAAACATCATAAAGAATAAGTAAATCATACTCTTGATTTTCAAAAGCCAATTTTAAGTTAATATTGCTATGAATTGTTGGTACATCCCCATAGCACATGGGAAAATGGAAGATTAATAAATTACCAGCTTTTTTCCGCATTACTAAATATTTGGTGATCATATATGAGGGTTCTTAATTGTGTACTACTAAAGAGTACATCACCTACAAACAGAATACATTTTACCCCATAACCAGGGAATTCAATTGAAATTGAAACGTGTGTATTGTTGCCCTTACAACTGTATTGCGCCACGATCAAATTCTTGAATTGAAAGAAGGAGAAAGTTCCGACCTTTACAGGTTTCAGACTCGGTTGAACAAAACTGAGCTGAAATATAACGTCTCTTGTCGTCAGTTTGCCAGCTGGCGACCAAATTTGTGGGAATTTTGCTCTGTACGTCAGAGAAAACGTATTTCTTTCCCACTTAAAAACTTCGAACTTTTCAAGCGATCGTGACCTTGAAGTTGTCGCGCCTCGCGTGATTTTCGCAAGGTACACGAGGCCCCAGGACATCATCAAACCTTGGCGGGAAATTTCTCGGCTTCCTGAAAGCGAGGCCCTCTTGATGCGTCACATTGTATTTGTTTCCCTACCGAAGTGAAATTTATTCCGTATGGGGAGTTTGTAAAACCTGAGCATCATCGAATATAAGTTCAAGTCATGAATTGAAAAGCTGTACAGCGACGATGATAGGGGACCTTAGCGCCTTGAAAAAACTGCCTTCTCCTTGAAGGACAGAGACAAACATTATAGCCCCTGAACAATGAAATCATTTTCCTACACGAGTTCACACTTGGCTCACCTCAAGAGAGTCACTTGTTTTCTTGTTTTGACAGCTTTGTTGACGAAAGTAGGAGCCAACTCTGACGTCACAAAGAGATGAGTTTGTGAAAGTAGTCAACTGGGGTTCTACGTGATTTTTATTTTATTATTATTTTTTTTGGGTCAGTAACCACGTAGAGAGGCCTTTGGTTTTCGAGGAAGCGTTAGGATCTCACATAACTTCTTTTTCGATCAAAAAAAAGAGGGAAACCTTTCGCTTCGCATGATCACTCAGAATTTTTTTTTCTGATATCGATACGGATCAGTTGTGACCGAGGTCGAATGAGACAATTTTACTCGAGTTTCTTTAACTTTTTTCTTAAAAAGCTGAGAGTATTATTTTCAATTTAGCCTGTGTTTAAAGTCAGACTATTGATTGAGGAAAATATTCCAGCGATAACAGCTATTACCGGTAACCACCGAATGTTAAACATTTTCTCCGAATCGTCTTGACAAATTTCACATTTATCGTGGTCACTAATTGCAAACTTGCTGATAAAGGGTCTTTTAAACATTCGAGAAACGAGAAAAAATGAGCTCCTGCATAAATATAATACAAGAAACAGAATCGAAGCTCTTGTGAGCAATTTTTCACACGTTAGCTGAAAGTATCAGGGAGTAAAATTCGTCGCGAAGGAGGTTCACCAAAATAAGACCATTTGGATATAAAATTCAGCGCGTAGGAGGTTCACCAAAACAAGACCATTCGGATATCAACTAAGCCTGGTCAGCTGCTTTCCGCGTGACCTGAATTGATGGTGTTCAATTGTTGTGTTTTGTGTTGCAGGGTCGTAAACAGTGAGTTCATTATTCAGAGGTTTGGAAATGGCCAAAGAAGAAGATCTTGAGTATTCGGACACCAAGAAAATCACCTTCAACGTCGAGAACGAGGAAATTGGGGAGATCAATAATCCGCATCCGACCACCGACATAGAAAGTAATGGAGTAACAGTTCGAATTTACGAAGCTGATAGCGACCGTGGCAAGTGGGGCAATCAAATAGAGTTCATTCTCGCTGCCATCGGATTTGCGGTTGGTCTTGGAAATGTATGGCGTTTTCCCTATCTTTGCCAGAAAAATGGTGGAGGTAATATAGCATTTTCTCTACTACTTGTTTTGTGTGGAACTGTGTAAAACCTTCCCGCTCAGGAGTTCAGCGGACGAAGAATTAACGGAAAAAAAGAGCTTTTGTCGAAAAAAAAAGATCTTAATTTCCCTAGCTATGAAATTATCTAGGTATTTCCATGAAAATTCTGTTCTGCGGAAAGAATACTTTTTTCCACGTGTTTCATCGAGTTAAAACATGTGATATTTTAAATTCATCAATAGAACCTTTCATGTTATAAATTGACTGATTTTACGACCAACACGAAACTAAAGTTTTCGCTCTATTTTTCTAAAACTCCTGCTGGACTTTAAAGACTTTTCAAGGTTTCTTTCTTTCCTAGGACAAAGTCAGCCTCACAGTGTCTCTTCTCTGCTCTTATTCCCCTCTTCCTCGTTGTATTCTCCTTTACAAGTAAACAAAGCTTTTCCGCCATTCATTCGCATTTGACCACAATGACGAAGTGAAAAATTTGCGTTTCCGAAATGCGCCACCATTCCACAAAGTGCATGTATCTGTTGAATATCTCTGCTGCTATATTAAAAAAAACGTTTATTCGAGAACCTTTGGTGGAAATGTGAACAAATGTAAAATAAACCGTGAATTACTACTACGCCACGAACGATTTACGTAAATCGATTTGCATGACCACGAACGTGGTCAGTCGCAAAGGTTAAATATCCTTACACACTTTAAAGTGAAGTGGATTTACGAAGAAACAAAATGCAGTTAAATTCATTAGTTTTCTTTCTGTATCGAAGCTCCATTTCAAGCCCATCACTGGTACAAGCAAATCGAATCAATATTTTTTGCCTTCGTTCCTATTGTATTAGCATAATGATTTAACTTTCCACTGCGATCTCGTTTGCCAGCTAACTTCTGTTCTCCTACATAAGTGGTTACCTCGCCAGAAATTCGTATCAATCACAAAATTAATTTTAACTCTATATCGTTAAATCGAACGAAAAGGGCGATTACTTCGAAGAACAGAGGGCAATTTATTTTTCATAATCAATGGCTTGTAGGAATCTGCCTTCCTTCATATTGTATCACGTGTATTTGTTTACGTTTTTCTTCCCGCCTTTATTTTCGCGCATGATGTGTCATGTGACCAGAATTTTTTTTATTTTTTAATTTTTTTAGCAACATACTTTATTTTTCAATATTTTACCCCGCCGGCTGTTTCTTTTCATTCCTTTTGTAGAAAATTTTATCTTTTTTTTTTGCAACCTGATATTCTCGATGCTCATGATATGTTACGCTTCAATATATCTGGAAAAAAAATTGTCGACAAATTTATATCACTTCTTGTAAAAAGTGTATTAAAACTATCTCTCCTTCCCTCAAGAACAAGCAGAAATAGCATTGTCTTAACGTAAAGCCTAAGAGCAAACTGGTTATGATTGTGTTACCAGCTTAATTCAGTAACACCTAAACCGTGATATTCGCAAGTTCAGAGTCAAATCACAGGAAAATCTTGAAAATTGGGAGGATTTATTTTCAAGGTCTTTTTTCGCCACAATTGCCTGATTTCTAGGACAATAGTTCGGTAAGTTCTGGGATCAAGTTATTGATATAGAGGTAATTGAATTTCACATACCTTCGTGCCGTCTTGTTTGCATGTGGTTTACATTTTCAATGTGATATGCAAACGGGCATCTCTGGTCTACTTATTAACTACAAACGAAAATTGGGGCAAACGGAAATTGCTTCCATTTCCAAATACAATGAAACTAACAAGTCAACTTGAAAACAGAAGTTTTGTTTCCCGAGCTATAATGTAATTGGGCAGTAAAAATCACTGTAACAAGAGCTGTACGAAGTCTGCTGCAAGACTAAAATGCAGTTACACGACGTAGGCCGAAAGATTATCTTCAAACTTACCTCGGTTTTTGTCTTATTCTCGGGCAGCTAACTGGAAGGTAGTAGGCAGATGATTCGAGGTAGATGTCCTCGTTACGAAGCGAAGACGAATTTTCACGATCGTATTTGCGCTGAAATTCGATTTGATGGGGCGTTTCCGAAATTATCCAAAGCTCTGCAGGATACCTCCGAACAGGCTTGAACCGATGTCCCCGTAAGTCTACAACACAACTCATGTAAACAAAGAGTTTTAAAACTAAAAGAAAGTCTGCGAAGTTGCACCTCTTTTGTCCAGAAATGTTTAACCATCTGACTTTTGTGGACGTAGAGAGTAAATAGAGTTTGAAGATCAAATAAATTAGCCCGAAAACGCGGCAAAAAGATTGGCACCTGCCAATTATAATCTACCGGAGCCGGAATGGTTTTCTTCTAGTTCATTCAAACTTTGGCCTTCAAAAGTAGCGTAGTACTATTTTACAGTGAGAGGAGTTCGGATAATTATTAAATCGTGCGATTTAGAGCTTTTCTTCGAGAAAGAAGTAGCCTAAGGGAACGTAAAGTGAAGACTCCAGAGGTCATGAGTGAAATTTGATCTTCCCACGTGCATTGCATCCACCAGTGTTTGTTTTCATATGCTCCTCGAGGTGAAGCAAGTGCGCATTTGATATCCGTCCGTTCGCTGAGAAGGAGGGTTCTTTCCAGCCATGTCTTCAGCAGATCAAAAGGATGGCGTCGTAAACGTAACTGTCACGGATGCTCTGGAGAAAAATTTAGAAATCACGGAACAAAAATCAGCCAAAAATGGCGATGTTGTGCCAGAGGTGGCTGTGGCGGACGACAGAGGAGGATGGGGGAACAAGATAGAATTTATTTTGGCCACTGTTGGCTTCGCGGTCGGTCTTGGAAACATATGGAGATTTCCTTATCTTTGTCAAAAAAGCGGAGGAGGTATTTTATTCGATATTTGTACCTGGTTGAGGCCTTTTTGTCCGGGGCAAACCTTAATATATAAACGGTTGAAAGGTTACGTACTAAACCCTAGAGGAGGACCACCCCTCGATTATTATTAATCACAGGTTAAATTGGCAGACTGGCAATCTTATTTGTATTATTGATAACTAAATAACGCCTATTTCAAAATTTTTCGGATTAAGATTAATTTACCGTCTTCGGTCTGAATAAATTTGTGCATGAAAATAATATTCAAAAGCAATCTAGGGTCAGACCTTAACCATTGACGGGAAATTAACGTCATGGGTATTTGAAAATCGTCTTAGAGATATCGTATTACCCTTTTTTTTTTACTGCTTAACTGGTGAAGGGCTTTGTTTAGTTCTACCTTACTGGATGCAGAAGGCGAAACCGATTAAAGTATTGTGGTCTTTTTTTAAAATAGACCTGTACGCGACACGTATTCGCTCGTTTAGATGCAAACGATTCTCTTGTTTGTTTAGCTTAAGTGCGTCTGGCTGATTTTATCGACGATGAACATTTCCTCCGCAAAATACGAAGAAACAGGTCGCTTCATTCAGAAAATTGCGTGCTTCGCTTATCTCAGATATTTTTATGTGTGTGTTTGCGCTGATTCACGCCAAAATTCCCGCGTTCAGTTTTTTACCTTTCAGTACTGAAGCATCTCAAAGAATTGCCAGACAAATGATTTTGTAAAAGACTTAAATGCGAGACAAATGGATCGGTCTTCTGTCGATCGGAACGTTCATAGTAGAATGATTTATATTCGGATACTGTCACGCTCTCGGACGTGTGTGTGACTGGTTCATGCTTAGGCTCTTTTGTGACAAGCCGCAACCCGCCTTTGTGTTGCCCAATGCGTTTCACAACAATATTTCACAATGGTTTTGAACATAAATTTATTTGTCAAGTGGCTGTAGTTGTTGTAAAATAATGTAATCAAGGTCGCTTTGTTTTCTTTTGTTAATCTTTAGGGATAACATGAATATTATCAACAGATAAGCGCAAATTAAATTTGGATTGGGTCTGTTCACACTGAATGTTGATTAGGCAGTCCAAAGGATGAAAAAGTGCGCTGTTTGAGGGCCGGTTATTCACCAGAGATCAAACTTGGGCCGCGGTTTCAGATAATTGTTTAAAGTAAGTCATCGTTTTTCCAGGGACAGATCAACACTGTTCACAAAAATCAGCATTTAGATGAAGCATGAGGATAGTTTAAAACATGGTTTTGCACAGATTAACTGCCCTTTGTATCTTGTAGGAGTGATGCTCTGTAATTGCATCTTCATGAGATAATTATTTACTTGATGTGTCATTGTTTATTGTAGCAAAACAGATTAGAGACAGTTGTATGTGGTTGTGCAAGAAATTCAAAACAACTCTTTGTTTAAACATAGAAGATTTTACATCAAAATATTTACAGTCACTAAAATATCAGTCAGTGCAATATGCTTGACATACATTTTTCACCTTTTCGTTTGTCAATGCTATAAATGCAAACAGATTCTCTGGAAATGGGCTTACTTCTGCCAGTGTTTCTTAAAGGAATATTTATTCATTGCTTTGTCCTTTTACTTGAAATGTACATGTTTTTACCAATAATTGACATTCCAGAATTTACTTCAGTTTATCAGTTCGGGAGATAGATTTGCCAGAGGTTCTTTGAACATGAGCAGAGTGATAACAGTCATCAATATTTCATATTCCATACAATTTTGAGGTTCTAAAGATTCAGTAATTGACTGTTGTAAATTATTTGCTGAAATTTTAATCCAACAGTTCAATAAAACAGTAGATCTGTATCATATGAAATCAAAATGAAGATGATCTTGACATTGCATGACTTTTTAAAACATCCAAGTATTGTGATAATATCTGATGTGCCCCCTTCCCCCCCCCCCCCCCCTCCAAAAAGAAAAAATTGTGTTCTCCCATAGTGTAATGTTGCATTGAAAATCAGAGATTAGACTAGATGGCTTTAAAGTGTTAGGAACGGGGGCAGCTAAAATAGTATATTCAGAGGGAGACAGAGAAATTACAGCAAGACAAAAAGACTTCCCCTTCCTCTCCTAGTAGTTTTCACTTGTAGTTTGGTTGCTCAGACATTTGTAAAATACAACAAAGAAGGGGAAGTACCAGCCCTACAGCCACTTTAGTCTGAAATCTGCTCCTGAATACAATTTAAGACTGTTTTCTAATCTATAAGATGTTTGTCTCTGTGAGCTCATAGGTAACTTAACCGACAAACAATTATGAAGCACTTCCTATACAAAACATGTATCAGTTTAACAAAACTATTTTTCATTTACAGGTGCATTTTTGATTCCATACTTCTTAAGTCTTTTCCTCATTGGTATCCCACTGTTCTTCCTTGAGCTTGCCATTGGCCAGAGTCTGCGACAAGGATCTGTTGGAGTATGGAATGCCATTCACCCATACCTTGGGGGTGTTGGTTATGCCTGTGTTGTTGTCTGTCTACTTGTGGGAATGTACTACAACATGGTCATTTCTTGGTGCTTCTACTATCTGTTTGCTTCATTTCAAGACCCTCTACCATATTCCACGTGCCCCAGACTGGATAATGGCACATTGCTAGAAGAGTGTAAAGAGGCTGGTCGCACACAGTTTTACTGGTACAGAAAAGCCCTTGATGTGACTCCATCCATTGAGGAAAGTGGTGGTCTTGTTTGGCATCTTGTCCTTGTGCTGTTAGTGGCTTGGGCTGTAGTGTTCCTGTGTATGATGAGAGGTGTTCAGTCAGCAGGAAAGGTAACTCATAACTGGTTACTCTATGCTTATATAAGACTGTATTAAGAGGGACAATTTTAGTCCCAAAATCCACTATAACCTCAATAATCTTCAGTGCCAACTCCAAAGGTGCAAACTTTTGGGAATATTAAAATTGAGGATGTTTGGTTTAGACTGTCTTACTCCCCCCCTCCCCCCCTTACCCCCAATTTAACATAAGTCCACTTTGTCCAAGTCTCTTTCACTAACTGATGAGGCTAAATGGATGAACATAATCCAAAAATTGTTGGAAAAGGTCTGATAAGGACTCTACTAGTGTTGGTTTATTTATCAATTTTAAGGCTGTGTACTTTACTGCTACATTCCCTTACATTGTCCTGACCATCTTCTTTGGTCGTGGCGTCAGCTTGGAAGGTGCTGGTGCTGGAATTGCTCACATGCTGAAACCCCAGGTTAGTGTCTGGTCTTTCAATAAAATGTTTGTCAGGGACCTTAGAATATTACAGTGTTTGGTTGCAAATATCCAATGATCTAATCAAGTACCACACTTGAGGAAGGTTTAATGGTGTGCATATCACCAACTATGCCTTTTGTGGGCTTACACTAGGATGCCATAAAGGAAAGAAAGACTTAACCCTTGACACGCCAACATCAGTATGCATATTCTCTGTACTGTTCTTTATACATTTCCGAAGGTGCTGACAAGAAGAATTTGTTTACCAATCAAAAGCTTTTTTCATTGATGATTCTTTTTTTTTATTCTTGTGACATTAATCTGTGATTCAGGGGTGATATTGTGGGGAGAAATTAGATGCTAGTCACTTTTAGGGTTTAAAGAGTTAAGAAAATTTTGAAAAAAGAAAAAGGATGAAGGATTTCATGAAAACAGAAGGTCAGCAGTGATAGGAGGGTTTTTTGCTGGATTAGCATGGTTGAAATCTCTGTGTTGTCACCCTATACTAGTGGCTCAATGGATTATTCGTCCATTTCTTCATCATCCCCAAATTTCTTATTGCAGTTTTCAAAGCTCGCAAATCCTCAAGTGTGGCTGGAAGCTGCTACACAAATTTTCTTTTCTCTAAGTGTGGCCTTTGGAGGACTTATTGCCATGTCCAGTTACAATCCAGTGCACAACAACTGCCACCGCGATGCTATTATGGTCTCATTGATCAACTGTGGAACATCAGTGTTTGCCAGTATTGTTATTTTCAGCATCCTTGGATTCAAGGTTTGCCATAAGATTATTATGCTGAGCCTTTTATACACTTTACCCTTATCCTGTTACTTGTAAAGATAACACAATGCTGATATTGTTGGTGTAGTCTTCTGTCAAACTCCCTAAAACTATTTTTTTTCTTCTTTTGAGTTGTTTAGATGTCTATAATTGTATCTTTCAAGAGTTTAAGTTGAGAATTACATCATGTAAACTGGAAAGGACCAGTTTTGTATTTGTAACTTTTGTGAAATCAAGAATTTTTCTTCCCAATAGATGACCCCCACAGTGTTAAATTGTGTATTATTTATGGTTTAACTGTTTATGCAGTATACTTTAATATGTTCCACTCATTTTTCCTATGCTTTCCAATTTTTCTTCCTTTTAATTTTTTACTCTCATTCTTTGGGAGTAACAAAAATCTAACTTCTAGCTTTTAAGTTGGTGAAACCAGGCAATTTTCTCAGTTTTTATTCACCCGATCTGTTATTTCAACATTATTTATGGATCTGTAGTACTTAATATTTTAGTCTGCAACCCTATTCATCTCTTTCCTATAGAACTAGAAAATACTCTCTTACTTTACTTCAGAGAGCTTTGTTGTGGCATCACTTGTAGGTAAACATTTTAATATTTGGTACCTTTTTAGGCCACTCGTTCTTTCCATGATTGTCAAGAGTTTTATGGAGCCATAAACAACACTAATGGAACTGACTTGGTTGCTTTGAAGTGTAAGGACTTGGAATATTGGCTTTCAGAGGTAAGGCAGAGGTTATCTTATTACAATAACTAGAAAAATTTGTGCATTATTTTCGAATAAAGGTACACACAATAAAAATAATATTGATGTCAATCTAGCACAGATCAAAATATGTTACTACGTAGGTCATTTGGATAACTCTTCATTGCATAAAGATTTAAATATGTACATGTTAGAAGTGGGCGAGTACATGTTTTGTTTTCATAGTTGTTGCTATATGCTATCTTCACTTATTGTTGTATACCATTTATGTTGTAATATGTATGCCAAAGACTTGACTATCGCACAAAAGCTCAAAACAAATACAACAAAAAACTGGATCTAGGAGGTTGAGGTTTTTATCTCGCATTCCTGGTACAAATCTTTAAAATTCAAGTACTCCATTTTGCTAATTGTTTCCATGCCGTATCAACTCTATAACCTCTTACCACATACCAGGCTATTCCCACTGTGATTCTCAGTTGGTTGTGCATGCACAGATCTTCAAGGTGATGTTTCTTTAATTTTGCAGTCTGCATCTGGCCCTGGTCTGACGTTCATTGCTTTCACTGAGGCTATAGTCAAAATGCCTGCCTCACCCCTCTGGTCTGTGCTGTTCTTCACAATGTTGCTGACCCTTGGACTTGGCAGCATGTTTGGAACTCTGGAAGGAGTCATCACCCCATTTTACGACATGAAAATTGTACCATGGAGGAAAGAGATCATGACTGGTAGGTGTCTTGGTCTTTAAAGTTGTATGTTTAGTGTCCAAAATGTCTGTTTAAAGCATGGTATCTCACTGGTGGCAAAGAATTTGTTTTGTCATATCTTGTTCATCAGTGTGCATGTCATGAGGTATAGAATGTTGTGAGATATGAAATATAAATAGCTTTCAGGGCTCTCTTAGTTTGGCCACTTCAGGAATAACTAGTAATGTTAGCATAACTTAACCATGGGATTTATTTGCAGGTATCATCTGCGTCTTCTGTTACATCACTGGTTTACTGTTTACCCAGCATTCTGGACAGTACTGGCTCCAGATGTTTGATAACTACTGTGCTACACTGCCTCTGCTGTTCATCGGCCTGTTTGAACTTGTTGGTGTCAGTTACATCTACACAATTGAGAGGTAAGAGTACTTTACAAAACTCAGTGGAGGAGCCATGATTGGAGGTCTTTGTATTATATTTATGGTTTTTCTTCATAGCTGCTCTGGCATCTTGTTCCTTTCCCCTCAACAGGTTTGAAGATGACATACAGTATATGATTGGCTTCAGACCACATGCATACTGGAGGATCTGCTGGCGCTATGTATCACCTTTCCTCATTTCTGTTATTCTCATTGCTAGCATCATCAATCTAGCAATCACACCTATGACATATTCAGCATGGGATCCTAATCTTGTAAGTGTTCTGGCCAATTTTTTCCAATGCATGCTAAAGTTTGTCAAAACTATTAAAAATTGTCAAATATAATTGGCTATTAGCTGCCTGATTTTAACACTAGTAGGATAGTCAGTGCATTGTACTTATAAATGAACATTTTAATGGGACAGGTTATGTGTTTTGCCTGCTCTGTAGTCATACAAATTTGTTGATCACTGGTAATTGTTGAGTCAACTTGGGTTGTATTCCTAATAATAATTAAACTGAATTGAAAGAGCTATGAATTTTGTAATGCAAACCAACTGCATGGTCAAAAGGTTACAATAGCAACTAAAAGTTGTAGAAAAAGTACAAAGAAACACAGGTATAAAAAAAAGCAACAGAAGTACAGTAGAGCTAAAAGATATATCTATGGATGGGAGAAAAAAGGATCTGAAGGTTAAAGAGTTAACCTTTAAAAGTAAATTATAATTACAACTGTAGAAAGACAGTGGTAAGGTTTGCATCACAAACCTAATCATGGGCCTACACTGTCCACACATTAACGTGGACAATTTCATTACAGTAAATGGTTTGAACCCGGTGGTAACATGTAATAGTGTAGTTTGATTGTCCGGGTGAGTGTAGTCCTGAGAAGGGCTGTTGCCAGTAATGATGACTTTTCACCATTACTGACAACAGTCCTTCTCAGGACTACACTCACCTGGATGATCAAACTACACTATGACAATTTTATTGTTGTCCACTTTCAAAAGTATCTGTATTCGTCTGTTTAAAACATAACATTTCACAAGCAGATAAAGATTAGGTGATGAATGTGGCTTTAAAGAGGTTTGAGTTATAACTACTTCTACATGTCACATACAGGTTGAAACCAAGTTAACCTTTTTTCCTTCTGTTTGGTCTTTTCAGTCCAAGACAGTGGACTTAAATTATCCTGGATGGGGCTATGCTGTCATTGTCCTCCTTATATCAACGTCAGTGCTCTTCATTCCTATCTTCGCTTTACTGCGTTATTTTGGGATCTTGAAGTACAAGAAACCAACCCCTCAACAGGGTGCTGGTGATGGTGTCCCTCCAGGATCAATCACTCCATCAATGTCTCGTGTCCCTCTGCCACCCATGGAAGTACCATTGTCTGGAACTCGAGATGATGAGGATTGACACTAAGAGCGTGGTAATTGTGAAGAAGATCTCCCTAAAAAACACCTGTCACCTGACAGTTGGCTGACAGTCTGTGAGACAGATAACTGACAGACAGCCAACAGTAGGCCAACTGTCAGCTGACAGTTTTCAGCAGACCTGTTGGGTGACAGTCAGTCAACAGTCAGTATAAGTGATTCAAGGTATACAGAGTAACTTCAACATTAAAAAGTATACATTAATTACAGTCAAATTTTTATTTTTCCTTTTATTCTTGGGTCTATCACTACTATTGGTAACCTGTTGGTTATCTTTCAGCTGACAATCAGCTGACAGGGTTTTTCAGGGAGCTCTTCTTTACAATTACAAAGTTTGTAGTTGCTTTCCCTGCTTAATTAGCAGTTTTGTATGGGTATTGAAACATTGATGTAAGGAGGAAGGGTAACACTCAGGTTCACCTACAAAACTGCCAGCTGAGCAAGCAAACTTAAAGCTAATGTAAATAATTTAGCTTTGGGGTTCGAGGGTGATTTCTCTTCCTTTTTATCTGTATAAAGTCAACCAAAATATAAAAAGGTGTTGTCCTTGCCTTAAAATCTATAGAGTCTTTTACAAAAATATTAAAAATTTAGTTGATAAAGATATTTAGTGGGTGTCAGGTTAAAGTATAGGGCACAAGTGTAGCTTGCAAATAATTAGCAGAGTCATTTGTAGGAGGTGATAGAATTGTTTTGGGTTTTTAAATGTTAAAGTACAATCCAAACAATGATGCATGTATGAACTGCACCCACTGCTTTTTAGGGCTGTACATGGTCATGTATTTACAGGCCTGTCAATGTGCATCCTCAGGACTCCAGAATGCTAGTATCAGGTCCAAACCTCTCAACTCACCTTACTCAGTTTAAATGATATTTCAAGTGATAACCTGAGTTGTTGTGATTTGTGGGTAGTGGAATTTTTCACTCCATTAACTTTTGTTGGTGCATCTTCCGGCAGTTGCACAAATGGCTATTGTTTGCAATAATTATTGTTTTCATCTGTTATAGTGTAGCGTTTCGTCAGTTATGTGGATAGTTTTAACCAGCCATATACCTAATTTTAATCATGGTAAAGCGAATGTCTTTGAACAACAACTTTCTCTATTGCTCTGATCTTAATTTTCAACTTGCCTTTCATAAGTGATGCCATGATGTCATGGTTTAGTATATCAGGTGCATTGTCTGCCAACTGCAGGACAGTTGTGAAATTTTCAACACACGTGTATGTGATTTTAGGTATTTGTGACTTTATTTGAAACTAATTAAACCAGATTGGTCCTGGTGACTTTGCAGATAAAATGTTTATCATCCTTACACCTGATATTCTTGACCAGAATTGAAATCTGAAGCCAAACAGAAGAAACTAGCAAATTCATTTGAGCTTTGGAGAAATAACATATTTTCTGTGTTATTGAATATTCAAGATGAATTAGGGCAACTTTGTGAGGGGAAATTATAAAAAGGAAAGTTGGTTCAAAGCAGGGTGGCTTAACTAACCTTCCATTTACACAGAATACTTTTTTCTGACATTGCCTTGTATATGAGCTCTCCTTACTGATCATGTTTAAAAGAGGTTTGTACCTTTTCTTGTCATTCTCAAACTTGATAAGCTCCATTCAAGCCTTAAATTACAGAGATTGTATGTATTAGTGTAGGTATGTGATACTTTTTTTTCTATGGAGACAGGTTTTGGCAATAGTTGAAGTGAACATACTTATACTCAACTTGAAGCCTGAAAACACATCTCATTCCTAGCACTACTGTTGTATTACAAGCTGTTAGTAGGCTTGTTTTGCTGTTTTGCTTTGGAAACTAAAATTTATCCTCTAGATATTGAATCCATCCTTCTGTTGTAGTTCACAAATTACTGTTAACATGCAATGAAAATATTTCTGTTAAAATTCATCCAACTTTCATCACAATTTTGCAGAGAACTTTGTCATGCAGAAATCTTCATATTCATTGCTTTCATTCACTAAATTAAAAAGAGGACCATTAAGGAAAATGATCTAGCACAGTATACTTTTACAGTACAGTACTTGATGCATACAATTAGAAAAAATTTAACTTTCAAACTAGAATGCTGGGACAAAAGTATGTAATTTTAAGAAATGTAGTCCCTATTGATGTTTAGCTTCAAACACAAATATTTCTAATTAAAAGGAGCAACTCATGTATTTTTTTCCAAAAACATACCTAATGTTTGCATAATTAAGCACTGAAACAATCTCTCATTTAAATCTTTGGGTTTGTCAGAAAATTTTTACTTAATAATTTCATTTTCTTTTTAGTAGACAGACAATAGATTTGAGGGTATTCCAGAATGGTAGAGAATGGAAACAAGTAAAATATATTATAGCTACTATCTTGATAAGTTGAGGCTCGAGTTTTCAAGATTGCAAAACGTGACTGGGCTGCTTCAATTAAAGGCTTGCTGTAAAATAATAGCTTGAGTGTGATGTAAGTTGTAGTATGATAACAATGATAATTTGGTAAAGAATTACTTCATTGTATGGGTTAGGAGGAGATTTTTAACTTTTTAGTACTTTGTTGTCTACAATCAATATCTTGCCTTGATTTTAGACTTGTCAGTTATAATATTTGTTTAGATTCAAATGTATTCATAATTTGAAGACATTTTTGAGCCAGCTTGATGTATTTTATGGCAATTTTAACACTTGACTCTTTATAACGGGAGTCTTAGTAAAATTAATGCTACATTTTTGCAGTTATTCAGTTATTGGAAGCTTATCAGTCAAGTCGACTAGTGTATAATGTGAAATGAAATAAACTTATCTTGTTATCACAGTCAACTCATTTGTTTTGGTCATTTTAACTATGAACCGAAGTACTAGCTCCTAGTCACATTTTGAGGTATATTGGCATAGCCAAAGTAATCACCCCTGGAGTGAAAAGGGGAGGGGGGAGGTTACTCCGGTTTCTTGATGTCAAGTACACCATTGCCAACCATAACCGGGAAGTAGTGCTTACCTTTTAAGATTAAGGTAAAGATTTTGAGATTGGAAATATCCTTCTGCTTCACGAAGTTGACGAGATTATTGCTGTTTTTCTTGTGTTTCTACATCAGGCGAAGAAATTAAAATCGAATAACAAGGAAAAAGTCCCACAATACTTATGAAGCGAGTTGCATAGCCACTTTCTATCAACAAGGAGCGCTGGATAATGATTAATAAATTAATCAACTCACCAAAGACGGTGTTAAATTCTTTTTATTTTGTGTAAGCTCCACAGAGTTTGCACGAAAAGAAAAGCAAAAGTACATGTTGATTCTAGTATCACTATAGTTGCCATCACCATCTCACCTGAATGCGTCAGGGCCAGATCGTTGTTCATATAGAGGAACCATTCCACCCGTAAAAAAAAATTATTCGTTGATTTCTCAAAAGTTTTCATTATCTCAATAGGACTTAGAGGGATGGTTTGGCTTGGATTTTAATCGTGAACAACTCTAGATCTATTAATATTATAGATCTAGATTATAGATCTAGATCTATTGCCCATTTAAAAGTTTGGGGAGGGCCAGTTGGGGTTTTGGGACGTGGCTCATCTGGTATTTTGAATAGATCCTTATTATCTAGAAGTGACATATGAAAATAATGATTCTTGAATTGATCGCTGTTTAAAATATACCGTTAAGAATTAAGAAAAGAAGAGGAATTAATATAAAAAAATTATCGCGCTTACATCCATGGCAAATGTCGCTGTTAGTAGCCACAGCTTACATATCTCTTTGACTGCAACCAGGTATATTACAGATTTGCCAGAGATGATATTCCAACTGAAATATTCACCCAAAGGTCTTTTCCGGAAAACTGGAGTCCCTGAACCCTCCCCTTTAGTTAGAAGTTTGTTTTCTCGGTCGGAGCATTCTGATAAAATGTCCTTTACCTAACTCCCGTCAAAAATAACACAAAAAGAAAAAAAAAAAAGAAAGACAATCTAAAGGCCTGATGAAGCCCTTGTTGTTATTTTTGCTCTTTTCAACCAGCGGATTTTAAGTAGCCTGTATGTTGCTTCCTGATGGGCACACCTTCAATTCTTCTTAGGCCATGTTGCTCCTCCTAAGAGGGTTGCAGAATTGTTGTATTCAAGGGTACAAGTTTGGAACTCAGGGTTGAGTTTCCCAGTCGCATGTAATACAGCAGAAACAGGGTTCAGTTTCAACCACCGTACTCTTGATTCTTAACCTCAAGGAACCAAAGAAAGATTAGTTTATACAGTCCGCAAGCCAGGATCCCAAAATAAGGGTTTCGAACAATGATCGGGTTAGAAAAGGTTTGATAGCGGATTCCGTAGAATAAACCCGACTGATCAATGTCAGCTAGTTTGTAGAGTTATAGGTTTCGAGTGAGGGACGGACCATTTTTCTGGAGGGAGGGTACGAGAAATGTTGAAAAAAAATTGTTTGCAGGGTCTGAAAAGACAAAATAAATTGTTTGCAAATGTGATAGGGTAAAAAAATTGTTTGGAGAGAAGTCAGGTGAGATATGAAAAAATATTATTACCAAAACTGAAGCCAAACACAAGACGCAGGTGTCTCTATTCAAATGACACTTACAAATAACAGACAGGTCCGTGCTCCAAACAACACTTTGCCACCTGTTCCACCTTGGGCTGACTGTACATTTCACAAACACATGCCCAATAGACAACTGGCTTGCTGCGTTTCACTTTATTTGCACTCCTTAACCCACTCTAGAGCAGGCTAATAGGGATTTGTTTTACCAGCGTATTATGAGAGCACATAAATATTTTACTTCTGGAGAATTTTTCCTTGGCAAATTGCACTGGTTAGAGTTGTTTCCTCATAAAGCATAAAGTCAACCTTACCAAGTCTGAAATTGACATATTTGGAAATGTATTTGACTTTTTCATTTCCGCGATGGTTTAAGTACTTGTTACATCATACAAGTGTCTCCGACAAAAACACGTGTCCAAAGCCCAAATTATTGTGGAAGCCCATTAAATCTCCTTCACTTGCGTGAACTTATTGCGTGAAAATTATAAAGATGTAACGTACCCTTGAAGATTCTTGTCATAATAAACGTTACATTTAAGCATTATCAGTAGTTAAATGGCTGAGCCTCGTTTCCGCAAATTTAAGGGGTGTTTTATGAAAACACCCCTAACTCGGAACCTAACATTGATCAGCAGGCTCTATTCTATAAAAATCCGCTATCGAGCCTTTTCTGACTCGATCATTGTACGAAACCCTTATTTTGGGGTCTTGGCTTACGGACTAATATTCTCGTTCGCTCTTTTTGACTAACAAGCCCAGTGGAGACCGGAAACAAAGAGCCAAGTGCACATACCGCATGAAAGTGACAGCCGGAAGTGAGGGGTACGCATAATACACCAAAAAATTGCCCTATGTACCGAGGTAACTTGGGTCACTCTTCTCTAGTTTTAAGATGGTTGCTTCCTCCCTGTCAGATAAAGCCTTTTGTGATGTGACGAAAAAGGCGCGATTTAGTATGCAAATATAGGACACCGCGGTGACAAGTTATCACATGCACTTCAATAAAGCGAAGCATGCGTACTGTGGGCATTCTATGCTTAGATTCGTGTAATTAGCTACCGTATTTGTAATGGCCATCAAAGCTATCCGAGCTCGAAAATAGCGATCAGTTTGAAGGAAAGGCCGCCATCCGCAGACCTTCGTATATTTGGAGGCAGAGTAAGATACAAGAGGTGCAGGATCGGAAAGGCATGGAATTACTGCGGCTGTTTTACGGCATTCAGTCTCCCTCGTTCTTCACTCATTGTTGTTTTGGTGAGTTCAAAACGTGCTACGCACTCTTCGATTACGCGAATGATACTGCGGCTTTAAGCTCATCAGCTCATTGTGATCGTTGTCATGAGGATGCATGGGTCCTCTTTTTGCTTTCTGCTTGCTGTCTGATTCGCAATTCGTCAAAATCTTCTAAGACCGACCTGTTGATTATTGAATGGTACACCATTTAAACTGCTATTTTGGGACCGTCATAGTCATTTTACGATCTATGCGAAATGCGTATCTACTTGCACAGACTCAATTTATGTTTGTTGTGATTTTCGTTTTTTATTTTGTACGGAAATTAACGGTTACTCAATCTAGCGAGCGAAACTGAAGTGGAATTTTGCAATCACAACGCAATTAAAATTCGCCACGCTTGCTAAATACGTCCTATCATGTGAAGAGTGTACGTGATCAGGAGCAGTCAACTTTCATTAGTGTGATAGCACTGCGGTGTTTATACTAAGGGTTTTATTTCGCAACAACCTTTCAATTTTCGAAAGAAATTTCTCCATTGTAAGGTAGCCAGAATACTCGAACTAAATCGCTGTGAGAGATTTGGATTAAGCAAAACTCCCCGAACATGAATGAGCACATATGACAAGTTCGCACCGTGCAAGTTGACTAGACGTGAAATGACCTCTGGAATGCTTTATTTAGCCACATTGTCTTTTACTGTAGACATTTTAAATGATCTCGTGACCGCCCCTTTGCCTATGCTTTGCTGCTGGGATGAAAAGAGGTTTTCAAGTCTAGACGAAAAAAATGTAGACGAGTTCATCTTACCTTGTCATCGACTACGGCCTTGAGAGCAATTCGATCATGGCCTTGAGAATTGCTTTGCAGATAATCCTTTTTATTGAGTTGATTACCTTGTCTTGAGATTAAAATTTACCTGTGAAGTTGCACCGACTACGTTTGATAAGGTTCTCTCAATACTGAATTTGCTTCACCGGTCTAGTAATTGAGTTACGTTCAGTTGGCATTTGGTTAGCAGAAGTTGCAACGGTAAAATATTCCTCATTCAATTTGGTCATGGTCAGTTGGTTCCAATTGAAAAAAAAAAAAAAAGAAAGAGTTGTAAGATACTTCCAACCGAGTGAAAGCTAAAAATCAGAATCAAAAGCAGAGTCATAAGCTCAACAGAATTGTACTCAGAAGGATCAAAACTGTTGCATTTTCTTCCTATTCCACTTATGCCTCTGTCGCTTTTGATCCAGTGAAAGAGATTGTCAGTTGCAAGCAGAAATGGAAAAACCAACCAATCACAATGCCAATTCTCAGGCCCTTGCAGTACATTCTTCCACTTGTGACTCTGACAACTCAGTTTTCACTGGATTGTGAGTGAGCGAGTTGTAAGTGGCAAAATTATTTTTCTTCCAATTTGGTCAGATTGATATTCATTAGATCCTATGGCTGTGTGCTTATGATTGAGACTCCAACTTCAACTCAGAGTTGAAATGACATGAAAGCCAGCCTTTAGATTACCAATCACTCTTCTAGACAGTTATTGAAAAGTATAACTTCTGTGAATTAAGAGTACAGGATATTAGAGTAGCAATTGGACTATCAAAAATTTGGCCAGATTGTCCAGATACTGAGAGTGGAAACTGAAATACTGCACTATATTTTAGTCAAATAACATGGGTATGTTTTTGATATTTTCAGAATTCATGTATATCTTTTCAAAAACCAATGCAAACTTGTACAAAAAATTTCTGGTAAGATTCCTTACCCCTTAGATAGTTACTTAATAAAAGGCAGCATTGTATTTTCATTTAGACTTTTTGGTTTGGTTTTCAAAGTACTTGTTACTGTAGTCTAATTTTATGTCTAATGTAGACATGATAGTTAATGTCAACTGCAACAATCAAACCTATCTTTTTGGACACAACATTTAGGGGAAACCCTAATTCTAGGAGCATAAACAGTAGTCCCTTTGGGAAAAAATCCTCTTTTTATTTACAACACCCTGTGAAAGGGACACTTTTTGTAGACTAGAGTTTTCCCCCTGTG